GAGATTTGAGAATGACACTCAGTATGTCAGGTTCATAATAGTGACTTTCTTATCATATCAACCAATATGGAGAGTTGAGAATGACACTCAGTATGTCAGGATCATAATAGTGACTTTCTTATCATATCAACCAATATGGAGAGTTGAGAATGACACTCAGTATGTCAGGTTCATAATAGTGACTTTCTTATCATATCAACCAATATGGAGATTTGAGAATGACACTCGGTATGTCAGGTTCATAATAGTGACTTTCTTATCATGTCAACCAGTATGGAGAGTTGAGAATGACACCCAGTAAGTCAGGTTCATAATAGTGACTGTTATTGTATCAACCAATATGTAGAGTTGAGAATGACACCCAGTATGTCAGGTTCATAATAATGACTGTTATTGTATCAACAAATATGGAGAGTTGAGAATGACACCCAGTAAGTAAGGTTCATAATAGTGACTGTTATTGTATCATCCAATATGTAGAGTTGAGAATGACACCTAGTATGTCAGGTTCATTATGGTGACTTTCTTACCATATTAACCAATATGGAGAGTTGAGAATGACACCCAGTAAGTCAGTTCATAATAATGACTATTACTATATCAATCAGTATGGAGAGTTGAGAATGACACCCAGTATGCCACGTTGAAAATAGTGATTCTGTTACTGTGTCAACTTATATGTAGAGTTGAGAATGACACTCAGTAAGTCAGGTTCATAACAGTAACTCTGTTTCTTTACTACATAATATGTATTGGTTGTTATAATATTGTAAAATCTTTTATTATTTGAAATATACTCATCACTTTCTTTTACTCTGTTATTTTGTATGTGATCTTTTTTTTTCAATTGTTATTTCTTGTAAGATTATGGATGGTAAATATAGTATACTGTTCAGAAATCAAAGTGACTGCTTCATGATTTTCTTATTCAAAACAAGTTGTGTAAGTTATCGACTTCCTTTAATTTTAAGTTTTACTGAACAGTTTAAACTGATGATGGTTGTGAATGATGTAAGTCGTAAGTAGGAACTTTGGCTGAGTAACTATTGTGATTTTGGGCCTACATATACTTCTAACCATGGAGACTCTATGGTTGTATTAAAATTGTTTGTGTATCAACAGGCACACTAGTGTAAGAAGTAATTAACTTTTCTGGAGAGCATTAAAAAAGTACTTTTTAAACCTAGTATAAAACACTGGTAAGTATTCCAATTGGAATTCACATAATTTGAAATAGAAGTATATATATCATTACCAAGAAAGCAAGCAATGATTGATCCTTTTCTTTACAGCTATATCTTCCCAAGAGGAATGCCAAAGTACCCCAGCTCTTATACATGCTAGTGAACCAATGGTAATGGCAGAGGGGCCACCACCTAGTGGAAGTCTCACAAACTTGGGGGAGGGATATGCTCGTCTGAGCTTGTCTTTAGAAGAAAATGGTCTTTACAAGGTGAGTGAGTGAGTTTTTTTTTTTACCACACTTGTGGATCAACTGCCAAGTTGAAATGAGGAATTTGTGGTGCAGTAAAATTGAAGTAAGAACGGAAAAGGTCTTTATTCATTTGTGTTGCAATCTGGTGATAAATTCATGCATTGAGAATTTTCTGTCATGATAGTGGACTTCGTGTTAAGCACAAAGTTGAGGACAAGATGTGAGATACTATTGGTGGTACTTAGATGCTATAAACTAGACCCTTCTGTAATATAGGCACAGAATATATTTTTAACTCTGCTAATATTTTAAACTTTTAGCACAGGCTTCTGTATACATGTTATATATCCTGGCTTGAACTTGTGTTTTCCTAACCTTGACTTGCATTAAACATGGACCTTGGATTTTTCACATGCACAGTAAGTCTGGTTGAACTTCATGTCTGTCTTCACTTACAGTTACTGTGTTTTGTAATCTTCATGCATTGACCTTTTTGGGTTGCTGACTTCCATGTCATATGAGAAGATAGAAATATTGAAACATGTTGCACTTGTGTCAGATTGAACAGATAGTGTTGGAAGGCATTCTGGTTGTAATAACAGAACTTAAAGATTGTAATTCAACACTATAAGATAGGGTTTTTTAATATAGTTTATATTTTCATTCAGTGAAGTGTTCTATAGTTCTATTAACCACAACAGCCTAACTAACCTGTTTAGTGTTATTCTACATTACGTACTATACCCAGTTATTGCTCTAAGTAAATAAAAAGTGTTTTCTTAACTGGTCAATATTATTTAGTCTCTTCATTTCTTGATAAGTCATTCTTAACTACAGCTCTCCTAAACGCATCTTTCCATATTTCATGTTATTGTGGTTTAAGAACTTAATGTTGGCTTAAGTAATAAATAATTTAAATCATATCAATAAATTAGATACAAACAATTAGCTGAAATCTTTGTGTTAACACATACCAGGTTTTTCATTTAAATTTTTATCCACTTTTTTAAAATTCACCTTTGTTATCCTGAAATAATTGATGATGTTTTTTCAACAGATTTTTAAATAAATGTATGCATAAACACACACAGTATATCTTTGTTTAGTGTTCATCTTCTTCATGCTCTGTGTACAAGGATGATTGATGATTCCATTCATTATACTGATATAGTTAAATTCATATATTTATTTAGGATTATATTTACAGAGCAAATTTATTTTCTTTGTATAGTTTATTCATTCAAATTATTAAATATTTATTTCATGTAAGAAGCATACAGTGGTCTATGATGTTTCAGAAGCAATGATAAATAACATAATTTTTAAACTTAAAATGTTTCATGCAAGAACTATCTATTATTATGCACAAAGTTTTTGATATTTTGAACACAATAACCTACGCTGGTTATTTATCTGTAAACAAGACTTTTTACTGTTTTTACTACACATATAATCTTTGTGCAGCAGTATGAAATAATTCATATTCTGTTTTATATGACTACTCTCTATTTAGAGTTTATGAACTTCTTGAACAAAGAGGTTTTATTGATTCTTTATATTATGCCAAACTTCAGATATTGGTTACACCAAAATAACAACCAAATAACTGATGTTACACATATTTCAAAGCATATATCAAACCTTCAAGCATGTGGGTCACAAAAATGTTTTAACTGGCTCTTTACTACATTCTGCAGCCACATATCACACAATATAGTCTGCATCTTCCCAACGTGTAATATTACAAATGAGCAATCAGTATGCTTTCAATTAACTTGCAATGTTGTTTTAAAATTATTTTAAAGCATATTTTGATTAGTGGATTGTTCTGTTTTTATTACCTTGCATTGAAACATCGTCTCTTAGATGTAGAATCTTTAGGTAGTTCAGAATTTAATTTACAACAGAAAAACTTGTTTATGATTATTCTACTGTTTCTAATTATTTTTTAATATTTATTTTAAACTGAAATCAATATTACTTTCATCTGGGATCAATTAGCAGAATTTATATTTATCATTAATTTTGACTGGGAAAAAATATGTGTGTGTGTGTGTATTATATATATATATACACACACTCACACACACACACACTCTCACACACTCACACACACACACACAAACATGTAACTCTTAATGAATAAGTAAACATAAGACTGGCTACTACAATGGAAGCCTGTATATGTTATATATTTTGCCCATTGCACTCAGATTGTTATATTTAATGGACAATTCTAAATCCTTTTAAGGAAGAAATGAATGATACCATGTGATTTTTTTTTCTAGATAGCAGAAACTGGGATTTACTTAGGTTTTCATTTCTTGACAGAATTATTTAACAGCATTACAATCTATCTGTCTATCTATACATGTATATAAAGATTGTGTGGATATGTCATAATTGTATAATATAGTTTTATATGCACACGACATGTTTTTTTATTTTTCATTTCTCACCATTGTTGAGCAAATTTTAGTTTTTGTGTGTGAATGCATGCATTATTGTTTTAAAATGATCTCTGAATCACCATAATTGGAATTTGAGTTATTGACAGTTTCAGTAGTGTTGGTTTAATACTTAACTCATTTTACTTATCTCACAAATTTGCTCTACTTTTAAAAACCAAAAACTTGATTTGGTAACAGTCTGAATTTAGTGTTTTTGGGTGTGCATGCACGAGACTTGAAGTACTTCTTGGATGTAAATAAATACAATAACTTTTATTTCTGATTTTACAGAGATACTTTTATTGAATCCGTAGAAAGACGGAATCAATATGGGGCATAATTTCAAGTTATACTTTTAAAAAGCTAATGTCAGAGCAAAATATATATAATTTTAGTGCTGTGCAAAATGCAAAAAATTGAAGAGGGAGTTGAAGGATTAGTGAAGAGACATTTAAATATTTTTATGTTAATTTTCTGTTACTAGCATCCTCTAATTGTAGGGAGATGATTAAAGTTGTATACTAGAAACATTTGGGGCCTTGAATGTCACATAGTTTCCATAATGTAAACTACTTGTAAAATGTGAAAAGGATATATTTTATTAATTATAGTAGCATATAATTTTACATTTTTATTTCGGTGATGTTTATGTACCTGAATGGAAAACAACTCTTGTATTTCCTGGACAACAAAACTTTGAAATTTTATTTTATTTTCAAAGTATGTTGCACCAAGTAGTTTCTGATTATCTAATTAGATTGTATAAAGAACAAACATTAACATATAGAAACAGCTTTATTTCTTACACTGCATAAAGAAAAGAAGTAAAGAAACAACAAACTATAACTTGATATTCAATGCAACTTTTTTAATTAATGTAAATTACTTTTTCCTGGAAATTATTGGATTTAACTGATAGTTAAAGGATTCCAACAATTTAATAAACAATTTTCACCATATCATATGAAAACAGGTACTTGAAATCATCTTACAGTGCTGAATTAATGTGCTGGAGAGAAATGTCAGGGGCATTTTATTCTTATTATCTACATATGATGTGTTTAAGACAGATGGGATGAATTTTCAAAGATGTCATCTTTGTGTACATATGTTTTTTTTCATTTGCATATGTAAATGCATATTTGATCAAAACATTTTGAGATCTTGATTTTCAAGCACTACTTTTTCCATATTGTTCCAAAGTGCTAATAGTCTGGACCAGATTTCTGTAAAATTCATATTCAATGGAATGTAATTTCTTCAGTGGCAAAGTGTAATTTACAGAATAAAAACATCATAAGTACTTTGTGAAAAAGTTTTTTATGTTGAAACTGCATTTTATAAGTGTTGCATCAAATGGCTTTTGATTGATGATATTGTATTATTAATTGGATAATGCACTTTTTTTTGTATTGTTTGGTTCATAAATTTGTGCATGTTTGTGCTAAACAACTTTTTTATCAGTTGTAATATACACAAGCCATGCATTTAGTATTTAATATTATATAGTTTAGAAACAAATGAAAGAAGTAGGATTGGGTACAATGGAAAAATATTTGGTGTTCAGTGTATGAATAATTCATTTTGTATAAGAGTAAATTTTATATCTATCTTATTTAGTTTGTATTTGCTGACATTCTTGACTATAAAATCAAAAGAACTTGTAGTAATTGAAATCAGTTATCATTATTTCTTCCAAGTTTCTACTTCTGTAAATGTTTGGCCATTTTTTAAAGTTACATTTGTAAGTAACCTTTGCAAGCACAGCAGTAAAAACAGTGTTAATCAACAAATGCCAACACAGTTGAAGCAGGTAAGCTATCTTAATATTTAACAAGTAATGCATCATTATTTTATACAACATACAAAAATGTATGCTTGTATTTGAAAAAATAAACAAACGTCATATGTGTGGTTCTGAACCTCCCCTACACACATATGTATCTGGTGATGTTGTAAAGTTTACAATACAGTAGCTGTTCCTTTTGCTGAATTTAATACATTACAAAATTAAGGAATATTTAATGGATATGTGTATAGAAGTACATGTATATATTTTTTACATACCCATTACTTACAGAATTAACAAACTGTACAAATGTATGCTTAATTTTTTTTACATAAACACTAATGCATCAGTGTATGTATGTAGGATATTCTGACAAACCTCTCATATTTTTTTCATTACAATATTTGATGTTATTATAGCTTCAGGCCCATAGAAACAATTGTCTTGCACCTTCATGAGTGACTTCAATCATTAAGTGCTGTAGTAGGTTAAGAATAGAAAAGTGCCAATCTTTAGATCTAGATGCATGTTCATCAGCCACTTTAATCATGAAGTTCAGTACAGAACAATCATAATCATTGTATTTAAGTGCATGTTTTGCTACTGCTTCAGAAGGCAAAGATTATACATGAAATTATCAAAAGTGCAGAGAAAAACCAATAATTGTGCTATTCAATAGACTTACCAGTATTAACTCTTCAGAATTGAAACACTGTTACTCTTTATGCATTACATGTGCATTTACTCACAGTGCTAAGCAGAAAACATTTTCTAAGGAT